ATTGTGCTTTTCTTTGCTAAACAAACACAATTCCATTTGAATGGTGGTTTTATTATCTTTTAACTAAACTTAAGGTCTCCTAAACAACCAGTTTTGCTATGGAGTCATCGGATGGCTCGACTTATGGAGTCATCCACACTTATTCACCAATAGTGTATTGACACGTGTCTTACAATCAATACAATTTGGACATGTGTCAATACATTAAGTGGTGGATGACTCCATAAGAAAACCATCCGATAACTCCATAGAATTTTTGCCTAAACAAGTGAACAAAACTAATAAACGAGGACTATTGAAATAGAAAACTGAAAAGAAAAATATTGTAAAAGTAAATGAATATTGATAACAATTTGGTATAAAAAAATACATTTTTATTTGGTTACAAACATTTGATAACTTTGCTACCTCCAGGTTTCAAAATACAAATACATTTAACATATATTAGGTTTAGATACTGACTATTACATTTTTTTTTTACACATGCACAATATGTACGTGACAAATAACATAAATTATATTTATGGAAAGTAATATAAATTTTTAAGTTATTAAGAATACTACATAAGAAATTACGTTTTCTATTGAATTCGTGACTTGTACATAACGAGAAGCCTTTCACTTTCATCTCTTGATACCGAAATTCGAACGGATTGGCAAGGTGCCTTCCCTGGCATGATGTAGTGCAAACACCCCAGCTACCCAGCTATTCCGAATGTAAGTAGAATTTATGAATTTACGTTTTAATTAATTGAATAGAAGCTAATCAAAATAATTTTAAAAATATAGTACAAACATAACAATAATATATAAATTTATAATTAATATTAGTATAGTAATTACAAAACGAAGTAAATAACATAGATAATTACACGTTAGATATTAAAACGGAGATATAAATTTTTGGGTCAGTTCTAATGGTTAGACGAGTCGGTTTATGTAAACAAAAATGCATAATTATATTATTAAATGTCATACTTTCATTTATGTATTTTCAAAATTTAATGTTTGTTAATGAAAATATAATGTCGATCTAATGATTATGGAGATTTAACAAACGACCTACGGTCATGTTTCCAAATAATTCATGAGCATTATATGGGATTTATTATTATTATTATTATTATTATTATTATTATTATTATTATTATTATTATAAGATTACCCCAAATTCTATATAAATGCCAATAAACCAATAAAATAAAATAAATAATTTTGCAATAAAAGACCACAGATCGGAAAAAAAGTTGGCGGCCCGCGTTACTTTTTTCTAATATGGGTGATTTTTGGTCGGAAAAAACCTCTTATAGCTTATTATTACGCTCAAGTGGCTCTCTATTTTCACGTACTACGGAGCTTCACGGCTCATATTTCCGGCGAGGTCTCCGATCAGGTAACTCTATCTACCAACCTAATCTGTTTTCTCTTGAAGCTAAGTATTGTGCTTCAATGTTTTTTGTTATAGTCCGATTGATGCTCTGAATGTATTAGATTTCGTCATTTCTAGGGTTTGGCAAGAACCCATTTGGGTTTTATTTAGTTCATCCCGAATTTTTATGTTAAGTTGCGCTGTACTATTGGAAATGTAACAAGAAAAGTTGGGTATGAGCTGATTGGTTCAAGGGGCTGTAGGATTTCTGTGTTTTCCTTTTTGATTGAAAGGATTTTTGCGCATAATGTTGTTATTGTGATAACTTTGTTCTTGATATCTCAAGTACTCTCTTATTTAACCTCCTCGATTGCTTTTTGTTATTTTAATCTGTCTTCCACTTATCCTAACACTAGATCTCTTTGTTTTGTCCATTGGTTAAACCGAAATTTACAATTTATTCACTAAATGGTGCTAGTAGTAAGATTGATGAGTCTTCTGAAAAAGGTGAAGTCTGTTCAAGTGGTAGTATTTTTGGAAGTAACTCTAATTCAGTTGTGTATAGTGCATCCGATTATGAAATTCCTGAGTATCTGATACAAAATCTGAACTTCCCTGGGAATTTTATACATGATAACTGATACCATCCCAATTTGATAGTCTATTTTTGAATTATAATGAATAAATCCAGTTTAGTTTGCCTGGATCTCTAATATATCGATGGATTTCAAATCCTTATCTCCTATTTTGAGTTAATTTTTTTTGGTCGACTCCTGTGGAATTCAAAATCTTATACTTTTAAATCATTTCAACAAATCCTCTTATCAAAAGCCAAAACTCAAATCTTTTCATACAATGCAAACTATAAGTGTTTCCAGGTCTCTAATGACAAAGCACATCCAAAGCTTTCCCAATTAATGGAATGAGAATTGGGCTAAAATAATTTCCTTATTCGTTTAATTGAGAAATGCACTGATATTAGCATCATGGAAATTTCTTGTCTGTTTATATAATCTGTGCACATTCCTATCATCTTAGGCATCTGATACTAACAATCCGTATTTCTTAAAAGTTTATTTCGCAATGAATGCCAGATTGTTTTATGTCTACATAGCTGTTAAATTCAGACTTAAAGGTTGGCTCTCTGTACCGTGATTTTCTTGACGTCTAAAACGTGTCGCCATTACTTACAATTCTGTATCCTAAAGAAGCATCAATTATTACTCACATATATCTCACATCACCCTTCTCTAACCAGTACCTCATATGAACCTTCTCTTGTTTGCAGTTAATCCCACAGCATCTTCCCGAAACCTCCAACAGTAACTCAGTAAAACTTCATTTTCTCTTGGTAAAAAAATTAAGAAAAATAAAAAAAGAAAAGAAATAGGTAGATATGCAACACAGTGGTGCAAGAGATACCCAACTTCGTGAGAACAGCAACCAAAAGGTCCATCCTCAGCCAATGGACGAGTCCACCAACCAAACCCCCGAGGCTATGGAAGCTCTCGTATCCAGAATCTTCACAAACATATCCTCCCTAAAATCGGCTTATATCCAGCTCCAAGCAGCCCATACCCCTTATGACCCGGACAAAATCCAGGCAGCCGACCGCCTCGTCATATCCGAGCTCAAAAACCTTTCCGAACTCAAACACTTCTACCGTGAGCACAACCCGAAGCCCGTCTGCACCTCCCCTCAAGATTCCAGGCTGGCGGCCGAGATTCAAGAACAGCAGAGCCTCCTCAAGACTTACGAGGTCATGGTGAAGAAATTCCAATCCGAGATTCAGAACAAAGACTCTGAAATCCTCCAGCTGGAGCAGCAGATCCAAGAGGCCAACCAGAAGCGGGTGAAGCTCGAGAAGAATCTAAAACTCAGGGGTCTGTCGGGAAAGGAACCGGGAAACAGCAGCGGGGGCGAAACCGTAATTTCACCCGAACTTTTCCGGTCGGCAGCCGAGGCCGCCTCGCGGGCCATCCACGACTTCTCCAAACCGCTGATCAACATGATGAAGGCCGCCGGATGGGACCTCGACTCAGCGGCTGGCTCGATCGAGCCTGACGTGGTCTACCCGAAGCGGGCCCACAAGAAGTATGCGTTCGAGTCCCACATCTGCCAGAGGATGTTCGTCGGATTTCAGGACGAGAATTTCTCCATGAATCCTGAAGAAGATTTGATTTCTGTCGCCACCAGTAAAGAGAATCTATTCAAGGAGTATCTCGAGCTGAGGGAAATGGACCCGCTGACGCTGTGGGCCAAGGCCCAGACTCGATGTTTTGTAAATTCTGCCGAAGCAAATATCTTTTGGTGGTTCACCAGAAAATGGAGGCCTCGTTTTTCGGGAACTTGGACCAGAGGACATATATTGTGGGTGGGGGGCACCCGAGGACTGCTTTCTACCAGGCTTTTCTGAAACTGGGGAAAGCGGTGTGGCTTCTGCACAGGCTGGCGCACGCGTTTGATCCGGCGGTCAGGATTTTCCAGGTGAGGCGCGGGAGTGAGTTCTCGGAGGTTTATATGGAGAGTGTTGTGAAGGATATTGTGGTGGGTGAAGGTGAGAATGAGAAGCCGAAGGTGGGTTTGATGGTCATGCCGGGGTTTTGGATGGATGGTGGTGTGATCCAACCGCAGGTTTATCTTACGGGTATTAAGGTGGCTGAATGAGTGTAACTCACTTTGAGTCGTGTGGTGTGTGTGTGTGTGTGTGTGTGTGTTTGTGTGTGTGTGTCGATGTCTGAAAAGAGCACAAAAAAAAAGCCTCCTTCTCGGGAAGTACTCGGAGGATATCTAATTGATCCAAGGTTTCATCTTGTTTACAGGCAATAAGTGGCTGAATTAGTAGTTCGATGTTTGTGTGGTTCTGTGTGTGTGTGTGTGATGGAATTTTGTGTTTATATTTTTATTTTTATTTTCTGAAAGCAATCACGAGCTGGGGGGGATGGGCAGGATTTCTGGCCTGTACATTGCGTGGATCAAAATTCATATTCATGTTCTTATGTCAATGATGTATTCGTGTTTTTAGTACTCTTTGTGTTTTAATACTCTAAAGATAACCCTTGAATTGTATTGCAATAGCATACAATACCTCTGATGGGGCTTTAGGTGTTCCTGAACCAAGCAATGGTACCCTAAAAACCTTTAGATGATGATTGACTGGTGGCTCACTAGTCCAACATTGAGGAACACCTCTTGTTATGTTCTTTGTTTCATAGGCTTCAATAAGGCTTGAAGCTTTGAGTTCATATTCTACATTAATCAAACCCAATTTTTCTATCTTTTTTTAATTTTTGGACTGGAAAAATTTTAAACCCCTTAATTAGTTTTGAGTTGGTATCTAACATTGATTTGAGCTTTAAATTGCAGTTCTTACGACTCAGCTGAACACCACAGAGAACCCCACACTTTGTTAGTATCAAATAGGTCAAGTTCAGCAAATACTTATGGTGATTGGTGAATACAACACCTTAATTCTCATTCGTCTCAGCTGAACACCACACTTTGTTCAGTATCAAATAGGTCGAGTCCAGTAAATACTTATGGTGATTGGTGGATACAACCCCTTAATTCTCATTCTGACATTCAAGATATCCATTTTGGTGCAAACAAGATCCCCTGTTTTCACTTCAGCTATCAGAATTATTGGCACCAAGGTACAAAAGTGGTTCACAACGTCGACAAATTGTTCACAGCAGCTGCATGACATGCTACACACACAATCATGTTTCAACTATAATAAAACGAACAACTTACGAATCATCGACACAACCAACCGACTTCATTAGAACAGTCAAAAGCACAAGGCGCTTGGAGTAATAAAATCACTAACACGAACACAATCTTCCGCAAATAGAAACTTATCACATTCAAAGACAAACCTGACCGCTCTATCGCGTGGATTATAGCTAACCAACCCGACAAGTTGGATTGCCAGAAGAATATCCCCATTTTTCCTGAGACCCAACACACGAATACAATTCCAGCCCCCGAAATAAGTATACTCCTCGTAAAACGAGCCTCCGAGAGTATACATCCTCGCCCAAGACTCCTTCACCCCATACTCTCTCATGCCCCAAATCATAATCGGGCAGCCATCGTCCACTGCAAGTGATAGGTATCCCCCTAAAACTGCAATGTGGAGAAAATTCCGTCTAGACAGCGGATGGACCGAGTTTTTGACTATCATGGGCAAATCCATCTCGACCTCCCGAAAAAAATTGTCCGCCAAGTCGAACGAAACAATGCCCAAATTATCGTCCCTAAACCAGTGCAGCCTCCCGCTCGCCAAAACCCCTCCAGCGAATGTTGCCCGAAACCTATGAACCGGCACATTCTTGGCCCTTTTCCAGGTGTTACTCTTGAAAGTATACACATAAGCATTCGTTTTCTCCTCCTGTTCATAAATTTTCATATAATCCACACTCACCACAGTATAGTCCCGGGCGGAAGGATTGTATCCGAAGCCAAACACGGATTTGTAGGATTCATCTCGACAATCCACCTTACTGATCAGATGATTCTTTGGCAGCAATTTGAAGGTCTTCGTAAAGGGATTGTAAAGGTAGATTTTTGGTCGGGGATAGGACGAATAGGCTAAGCACAGAAGGCCGTTGCAAGAGCCGACTATCCCAAAGCTGCTGGGGCTGCAATCATCGGAAAAGGGCAAATTGATCTCTCGAAATATGCGGTCCGCCTTATTGTCTTCTTCCTCGCCGGCATCATCATAAAGATCGGTGAAGAATACGGAAGTGTGGATACGGTGAACGCCCAGAAAAACCCATGTCCGATTAAGAGCGAATTTGCAGGAAATAAGCATATCGAGGAGAGACGGGTCGCCGTGACTCAAGTTCCACGCCGGACAGACGGCTCTGGATTGAGCCACCGTCTTCAATGGCAGTCGAGATAGAATCCCGGCCTTGATCTCTTGTGGTAGGGAGCTTAAGAAATCTTCGAATTTTGCTGATTTCTCTGCGTTAGTTTCACTGTCCGCCATTTAGGTAGCGAATCTTGTGATGACTGGCGAGGGTTGTGGCGTGGGGGAAGAAAGGGGATACAATGGCTAATATATTTATCGGGTGTAAATCATACTCCCTCTGTTTCAAATTAGATGTCGTTTTGACTTTTTTGATTCATCCATTTTGCTACGTATCTAGACATATTTTATGTCTAGATACGTAGCAAAATGGATGAATCAAAAAAGTCAAAACGACATTTAATAAAAAACGGAGGGAGTATATGGTAAATCATATACTCATTATATATTAAATTATTAATTCAAAACATACTGAGTCTAAATGACAGATTCACATATTTCCAAATTTTATGTGATAAAATTTTGATGCTTCATTATTAGACTTAGGTAGATTTTAACCTGACGCGCCTAGTTAGGCTTTCAAATAATAGGAACAAAGATCTTCCGTAATCACTGTTGTACTCAAATCCTCTCTGGCCGGAGAGGGGGTGTCTTTCGGATTATCTATAAATATATTGATTATTTTATGATCATGTTACATGTATTAATTGTATTTTAATATTATTTATTATTATAACAATTGAATTGTAAATGTATTTTAAAAGTTAATAATTTTTGTAGTTTTTATCAGTTTTACATATATAATATATCAAATTAATCATTTCTTGATAAGGTTGGATTTAACATCCATATTGTATGTATAAAAAAATAAATTATATTTATCTTTATAACAATAATAAAATTATTTTTTAATATTAATTAGAAAAATAAAATTATTTATCAATTAATATATTTATGTTTCAAGTAGTTATATGATATAAGTTATAAAAATTACCTTAATATAATAAATGTAAGTCGCACAAATAACAAGTGTCATTTTAAAATATATAATAATATATATTTTTTTGTAAAAAAAGTAATTAAAATTTAAAATAATTTTTCTCATTAATTTTATAATTTAAGAATAATTTTTTAATACACAGGTATTGTACTAGTTTGTTATTAATGTAAAGAAATGGATAAAGAACTGAGTATAGAAATCAGATATAAAAATTAGATATAATGTATATTGGTTTTTTTTTGTTTTCTTTTCGTTTATCATCTTCCATTTTATATAGTGGCCTTTTATAGGCATCTTTGCCGACATCATATTGCGTTTCTTACACAAAATTTTCATTTCTCTATCGTTTTACTATTTACAAATATTGGTAAGTCCACCATTTACACTATTTATTACACTCCCCTTGAAATTACCACTACAAAATATGCGTTTGCGTTGCCTCATTAACAACTTTATCTGGAATAATCATGTGGAAAAAAAATCAAGATAAAGAAACAAGAATAAAAACCTTATCTGGAATAATCATGTGGGAAAAAAATCAAGATAAGGAAACAAGAGTACAACTGCACATGCTCTCCTTCGAATGATCATCTATGTAAATCTCGAAGTTGTCTCATTCGTTCTTGACGTGCTTTCAAAATGTTGCAGTCGAGAACACTTCGTAAATAAGTCTGCTGCATTATCGCTTGATCGCATTTACTGAATTTTGATTTGATTATTCCTTTCAAGCTCTTGAGTCGATGTCTGAAAAGAGCACGAGAAAAACATCTCCTCTCGGGAAGCACTTGAAGGATGAGGGATTAGGCAGTATCCAACTGATCTTAAGTTTATCTTTTTTACAGACATTAATGGTTGATTAAGTAGTTGGATGTGTGTGTGTGATTCTGTGTGGGTGTGTGATGGAATTTTGTGTTTATATTTTTATTTTCTGAAAGCAATCACGAGCTGTGGGGGATGGGCAGGATCTCTGGCCTGTACATTGCGTGGATGAAAATTCATATTTATGTTCTTATGTCAATGATGGATTCGTGTTTTAGTACTGTCGAGCACTCTTCATGTTTTAATACCCAAAAGATACCCCTTGATGGGGCTTTAGGTTTTCCTGAACCAATCAATGGTACCCAGAAATTCTTCAAGTGATGATTGACTGGTGGCTCACTAGTCCAACATTGAGGAACACCTCCTGTTATATTCTTTGTTTCATAGACTTCATAATCCTCATTTAAGTTGAAGGCTTGAAGCTTTGAGTTCATATTCTACATTAATCAGACTCAATTTTTCTACCTTTTCTTCAGTTTTGGACTGAAAAAAATATTAAACCCCTTAATTGGTTTCGAGTTGGTATCTAACATTGATTTGAGCTTTAACATTGTGGTTCTTACGACTCAGCTGAACACCAACACCACACTTTGTTAGGTCAAGTTCAGCAAATACTTATGGTGATTGGTGAATACACCACCTTAAATCTCATTCATCTCAGCTGAACACCACACTTTGTTCAGTATCAAATAGGTCGAGTTCAGTAAATACTTATGGCGATTGGTGAATACAACCCCTTAATTCTCATTCGATATTCAAGATATCAATTTTGGTGCAAACAAGATCCCCTGTTTTCACTTCAGCTATCAGAATGATCGGCACCAAGGCACAAAAGTGATTCATAACGTCGATAATTGTTCACATCAGCTACATGACACGCTACACACACAATCATGTTTCAACTATAATAAAACGATCAACTTAGAATTGCTCAATTAACGCAAGATAAAAGCGATAAAATTGTTCTAATATATTGACTTATGAAATCATCGACACAACCAACCGACTTCAATAGAACAGTCAAAAGCACAAGGCGCTTGGAGTAATAAAATCACTAACACGAATACAATCTCCCGCAAATCCAAACCCATCAAATTTAAAAACATCACATTTAAAAACAAACCTGACCGTCCCATCGCGTGGATTATAGCTAACCAACCCGAAAAAGTAGATTGCAGAAGAATATCCCCATTTTTCCTGAGACCCAACACACGAATAAAATTCAAGCACCCGACATAAGTATACTTCTCGTAAAACGAGCTTCCGAGAGTATACATCCTCTCTCAAGACTCCTTCACCCCATACTCTCTCATGCCCCAAATCACTATCTGGAAGCTATCGTCCACCGCAAGCGACAGGCATCCCCCTAAAACTGCAATGTGGAGAAAATGCCGCCTAGTCAGCGGATGGACCGAGTTTTTGACTATCGTTGGCAAATCCATCTCGACCTCCCGGTAAAAATTGTCCGCCAAGTCGAAAGAAACAATTCCCCACTTATCGTTCCTCAACCAGTGCAGCCTCCCGCCCGCCAAAACCCCTCCAGGGAATTTTTCGCCAAACCTATGAACCGGCACATTCTCGGCCCTTTCCCACGTGTTACTCTTTAAAGTATACACATACGCATTCGTTTTCGTTTTCTCCTCCTGTTCAGAAATTTTCATATAATCCACACTCACCACAGTATAGTCCCGGGCGGAAAGATTGTATCCGAACCCAAGCACGGATTTGTTGGATTCATCTCGACAATCCACCTTACTGATTAGATGATTCTTTGGCAGCAATTTGAAGGTCTTTGTAAAGGGATTGTAAAGGTAGATTCTTGGGCGGGGATAGCCATAGGACGAATTGGCTAAGCACAGAAGGCCTTTGCAAGAGCCGACTATCCCAAAACATATGGGGCTGCAATCATCGGAAAAGGCAAAATCGATATCTCGAAATATGCGGTCCGCCTTATTGTCTTCTTCCTCGCCGGCATCATCGTAAATTTCGATGAAGAATACGGAAGTGTGGATATGGGTAACGCCCACAAAACCCATGTCCGATTAAGAACGAATTTGCAGGAAATGAGCATATCGAGGAGGGACGGGTCACCGTGAGTCAAGTTCCACGTCCGACAAACGGCTCTGGATTGAGCCACCGACTTCAAGGGCATTCGAGATAGAATCTCGATCTTCATCTCTTCTGGCAGGGGCCTAAGAAATATTCCAATTTGGCTGATTTGCCTGCGTTCGTTTCTTTATCCGCCATTTTTGTTTGTTCCTTTTCTTGAAGTAGAGTGGGGAGAGACGGAGGGTTGCGAGGAAGAAGGGGTGTACGACGCCTATTATTTTATAGGTTGTAAATGATATATTTATATTTTTATTTTCATTTTAGGTAAAAAAAAATGAGAGATCTATATATATATAATTACTAGCTAATAGAATTTAATAAAACCTATTTAATTTTACCTATGTGGCAATTTAACAATTTTTCCTCCAAAAACCGTTACATTTTGATGTATTTAATCTTTCATTTAATCATTAAATAATTAATACTCATCACTTCAAAATTACAAAAATCATTTTAAACTTTTGATTAATGACAGTTGATCATATAATGTGTTGACCGTATAATGTGATTAGATGTTATTATTGTTGTTACATTTAATTATTTTTTTAAAAAAATAAAAAATATATTTGAAATTCCTAAATAAATAATAAATAATTCACAAATAAAAGACGTACTAAAATATACATTACATCCAATCAGATAAACGCAATTTAAAAAAAAAAAAATATTCCAACTCTTTTAATTGTAAATTTGGTCTGCAAAAAAGTGAAAGAAAAATAATTAATCATTATATATACAGACTCACAATAATTTATTTATATCTGTGCAAGTGCACAGGTCGAATACTAGTTGAGAATAATTGTTCTCCCTTAAAAAATATCACATGTCATGTAGGAAATCCCCTCTATATATAATTTCAAAAAGCGCTGAGCCTACATGGTAAATTTCTCATGCTTTGGAATCCTATTTGGCAAAAAATCATGCTTTGGAGTTAGACTTGGATATAAATTAATATTTGTATTAATTGTATTTTAATATCATTTCCTATTATAACCATTGAATTGCAAATATATTTTAAAAGTTGATAATTTTTACATATATAATATATCAAATTAATCATCTTTTGATGAGCTTCGATTTGACATCCATATTGTATATATAAAATAAATAAATTATACTTATCCTTATAATAATAATAAAATTATCTATTAAAATTAATTAGAAAATAAAATTATTTATCAATTAATATTTTGCTTAATATTAAATAAACATATTCTACACTTATGCATATACATATCACCATAATATTTCTATTTACTTAAGATATATATTTTTGTACTTATGTAATAGTAAATAATATCGATATTATTATAATATAAGTAAAAAAATTCAACACGGGTTGACATTTTCATATACATATTGTATATATAAAATAAATAAATTATATTTATCTTTATAATAATAATAAAATTATTTATTACAATTAATTAGAAAATAAAATTATTTATCAATTAATATTTTTCATAATATTAAATAAACATATTCTACACTTATGCATATACATATCACCATAATATTTCTATTTACTGAAGATATATATTTTTTTGCTTATGTAATAGTAAATAATATCGATATTATTATATGATATAAGTAAACAAATTCAACACGGGTTGACATTTTTATTTAATGTACAAGTGTTTACTTATTATGATTAAAAAAATATAATTTGACAATTTAATTAAAACCCAAAGTAGTGTTTTATATAAAATTAAATTATTTTAATTTTTAAAAAAATAAAAAAAGTAATATTTTTTACAAAAACTTTCTAATTCAACACCCGTGTAATACACGGGTATTGCACTAGTATACTTAATTTATAAAAAAGTGTTTCACAATGCATTTAAAAGTGGATCTAGTCTAGCTTATGTGGCAATAAAAGAATGAGACCAAGCCCACTCTTGGGTCTGGGTCTATTTTGGTCCCAAGTGTGAACTTGTACAATCAGCAATCATTTACTATTATTATATTTTTATTGGTTGTTAGGTATTCAATACCTAGTACTTTTTTTTGCATTAGATAATTTTGGATTTTTTAGCTTGAGTTTGTCCATGTCATTATAAACTTAAGTCTATTTATTTGTCACATGCAAAAAGAGACCCAAACCATTGTGGATGCTCTTAGGTCTAGCTTTCACTCTCTAGAAACCTTATCTCTACCTTTTCATTTTCTTTTGCCGGCCAGCCTCTCCTCCTAGCCGCCCCTCGTCGTCGGTGGCCCCAGGGGCCACCGGGTCGCCCGTCCTTGTCCTTTTATTATGTCTTTTTCTCCCTCGATTTGGATATGCGAAACATAAACTATGCAAAAAAATATCGCATAACATAAAATATGCGACGTTGGATTTTGATATTCGATTCTTGAATATACGAAAACTTCTCGCACATGGTAAGTTATGCGGTGGATGTGGATATGCGAGTCGTTATTATGCGAAAATTTATCGCATAGCATAAAATATGCGGCGTTGGATTTGGATATTTGATTCTTGAATATACAAAAACTTCTCGCATATGGTAAATTATGTTGTGGATTTGGATATGCGAATCGTAAACTATGCGAAAACATGTCGTATGACATAAAATATACGACGTTTGATTGAATACGCGATGCTTAAGTGTTTCGCATACTTGTTAACTATGCGTTAGATATTGATATGCGAGACATAAATTATGCGAAAACTTGTCACATAATTGTAAAATATGCGGCTATCAATTTGATATGCGATAAATATATAGGCAAAATAAATTTTCTTAACAAAAATTATACAATGGATTTGGATATGTGTTATTATATATACGACAAAATCTCACATAATTGTTAATTATGCGGTTCATTTGGATATGCGATTAATATCACGTATAATTTCGTGATTATTGGGGGTGAAAAAAGAAGTTTTTTTATAGAACATTGTGCTAAAAGAAAGTGCATGTATATAGTGGGGGTAAAAGAAATTCCCCATATTTATTTATAAGCAAAATTGCATATTAATACACCACCTTTTATGTTTTGCAATTTAATTGTCACTTTTGTAATTTAGTAATTTAATACACCGCTTTGACTATTGTTTGGAATACGAATCACAGGGGCCCGATTTCCGGTTTTTCTGCTGACATGGCGTTGACCTGACATTTTTTTGCTGATATGGCATTCCACTTGTCAATGACACAAATAGCGTTTTATATATTTATACATTACGTATGGATAAATCAAATTTAATTTAAAAGATAATGTAAATTATATTTAATCAAATTAAATTTAAAAGATAATGTAATTTATATTAAATTACATCAATAAAATATAAAATTATAATAAATTATAAAATAATAAAATAAATTATATAAAATTAAAAAAATGAATAAAACTAAAATAACTCTTTTTAACTTAAGACAATGAAATAAAATTTACTAAATAAAATTTAGAAATAAAAATTATTTATTTCTAATTCAAATGATTTACTAAAAAATGATAATTCATATATAATTTTCTTAATTCATATTTTATGGTAGAGTAAATCATATTAATAATTTTTGTTTTCTGAAGCTATAAAAGGATCTATTAAACTCAAAAGAGAACAATGTTCGAATACAATAAACAACAACCCGAAACAAGAGAACTGGGAGACACGCTTAAAAGCAACGTAGAACCTCAACAACAAACAAGACAAGCAACATTCACAAACTATAAACCCTCCACTGCCAAATAATATTTTTTTATTTTATTATATTCATTTACGATTTTTATTTATTTTAATTTATTATTTCATAATAAGTTATTATATTTATTATTTTATTTTATATTATTATTTTTTTATAATTTATTATCTTATATCATGTTATTTTTATTTTATTTTAACTAGTGTACTTTAATTTAGTTTATTTTTAATTTATTTTTATAATTATTATTTTTCATTTCTAAATTTATATAATTAATTTTATTTTAATATTTATATATATAAATTTTTTAATTTAATTTAATTTAAATTCATCCCAATTTAATATGTTTTATCTTATGTCATTTTAATTATTTAATTTTGATTTTATTTTATATAATTTAATTTATTATAATTTTATATTTTATTATTTTAATTTGATATAATTTACATTATCTTCTAAATTTAATTTGATTTACTCATACGTAAGTCGATATATTTAAAACACTATTAGATTTATCAACTAACGTGGATTGTGTGGTGATGACAGAGTTACCATGCAACTTTCATGCCTCAGGTTCGAATCCCATGACCAGCATATTTTATATATATCCAATTGATACGTGGAATGCCATGTCAGCATAAAAATGTCATGCCATTGACACGTGGAACACAATGTCAGTAGAATGGTTAGAATTGCAAACAATAGTCACAGTGGTGTATTAAATTGCTAAATTACAAATGTGGTGATTAAATTACAAAAACATGAAAGGTTCTGTATTATTATGCAATTTTGCCTTATATATACAACTAGTGCATATCAGGTGGGGTGTACGGAGAAGCTCATCTTTTAAACCTTTTTTTAGACTTTGTTTTAAATATAAATGTTTATATTTTTTACATCTCGTCTCATTATGAAAATAAATAAATACAAACAATAAAAAATCATTTATTATTAAACAATTCTCAAGACTTCTTTCCAGCAACACCTAAAATATTAATCATTGATTTCAGCAACACTTCTTTTCCAGCAACACCTAAAAATTTGTTTTAGCAGCTCATTACTCTTTTACTCACTACCTCATAAACAAATCTCTCTTTCGGCCTTACCAAAGCCTATGGGGAGACCCAATTACCATGAGCTAACTTATTCTTTGACTCCATGGAGAATAGAGCTAATTGTTTATTTATTTATTTATTTATTTTTGTTGTTGTAGGCTGAATGTTTCTACTAAAGAAAATAGTTGACTTATCATTACAAGCTGCCTAGCTTAATAAGACTGAATAATATTATTGAGCGTTGAAGCATAAGAGAATCATTTGAGAAAAAGTTCATAATAACCTAAACTGAAATAAAAAAGATTAAAAAATGCTTCTGAAATGATTATAAAAAGGTAAAAAGGATTATAAAAAAATAAAGAGAAAAGAGATTTCCTTATCTAATCCCTTTAGAATGTTGAACATACACTACAGTTGTACCATTAATAGAGAAAGAAAAAGAAGTTGCGTTGATACAAGCCCAAATCCAAGATATAAAAATTTCACAAAAATCAATCTTTTAAAGTATAGCAAGCAAAAAATTATACTCCACTCTATTATAAGCGTTAGTCATATATCAAGCTTGAGAGCTAGAACTTGGCTCTTTTACTGTTCTAAGGCAGTTTAAGTGGTTGATGAACTCATTAGTAATCAAAACATTATCAATGATTTGTCTGGCAGAAATGAAAACAGACTGATTACTACTTAATAAAAAAATGTAACACATTTTTTAACCTATTTGCAATATTGTTAAAAACTAATTCTTATACATAACATATCAAAGGCTTATAGGTTTATCTTACGGGTATCAAGGTGGCTAAATGAGTGTAACTCAGTTCGAGTCAAGTGCCTGTGTTGATGTTCTCTGACAAAAACGCAAGGAAAAAGTTTCCTTCTCGGGAAGCACTCGGAGGATGAGGAATTAGGCAGTATCAAACCAATCCCAGGTTTATCTTTTCTACAGACATTAAGTGGCTGAATGAGTAGTTCGATGTTTGTGTGATTCTTTGAGTGCGTGTGATGGAATTTTGTGTTTATATTTTTATTTTATGAAAGCACTCACGAGCTAGGAAGGGAGATGGGGGGGATGGACAGGATCCATGGCCTGTACATTGTTTGGATCTAATTTTGAATGTTTGTTCTTACGTCACTAGTATTCGTACTGTCAAGACTTCTTTGTGTTTTAATACTCAAAAGATACCCCTTGTATTGCAATAGCATACAATACCTCTGATGGGGCTTTAAGCCTTCAGGTTTTCCTGCACCAAGTGATGCTACCCTAAAAAACTTCAAATAATGATTGACTGGTGGCTCACTAGTCCAACATTGAGGAACACCTCTTGTTCTGTTCTTTCTTTCATACACTTCAATAATCCTCAACTAAGTTGAAGCTTTGAGTTCATATGCTACATAAATCAAAACTCAAAATTTCAACCTTTTTATTTATGGAAAAATTTTAAGCCCCTTAATTAGTTTCGAGTTGGTATCTAACACTGATCTGAGCTTAAACATTCTGGATTCTTACTACCCAGCTGAACACCACAATTTGTTCAGTATCAAATAGGTCAAGTTAAGCAAATACTTGTGGTGAATCCACCACCTTAATTCTCATTCGATATTCAAGATATCCATTTTAGAGCAAACAAGATCCCCTGTTTTCACTTCATCAACCAGAATCATCAGCACCAAGGCAGAAAAATTATTAATAACGACTGACAAATTGTTTGCAGCAGCTACATACAATCATGTTTCAACTATAATAAAACGATCAACTTAGAATTCTAATATATTGACTAACGAAATCATCGACACAACCAACCAACTTCAATAGAACAGTCAAAAGCACAAGGCGCTTGGAGTAATAAAATCACTAACACGAATACGATCCCCCGCAAATCCAAACCCATCACATTTAAAAACAAACCCAACCGCCCCATCGCGTGGATTATAGCTGACCAACCCAAAAAAGTAGATTGCGAGAAGAATATCCCCATTTTTCCTGACCCAACACACGAATATAATTCGAGCGCCCAACAAAAGTATACTTGTCGTAAAACGTCTGTCCGAGAGTATACATCCTCTCCCACAACTCCTTCACCCCATACTCTCTCATACCCCAAATCACAATCTGCACGCGATTGTCCACCACAAGCGATAGGTGTCCTCCTAAAACTGCAATGTGGAGCCAAGTCCACCTAGACAGCGGATGGGCCGAGTTTTTAACCATCATGGCCAAATCCATTTCGACCTCCCGGAAAAAATTGTCCACCAAGTCGAAAGAAACAATGCCCCACTGACTGTCCCTCAACCAGTGCAGCCTCCCGCACGCCAAAACCCCTACAGGGAATGCTTCTCCAAACCTATGAACCGGCACATTCTCGGCCCTTTTCCATGTGTTACTCTTGAAAGTATACACATACGCATTCGTTTTCTCCTCCTGTTCAGAAATTATCATATAATCCACACTCACCACAGTATAATCCTGGGAGGAAAGATTGTATCCAAACCCAAGCACGGATTTGTAAGATTCATCTCGACAATCCACCTTACTGATCAGATGATTCTTTGGCAGCAATTTGAAGGTCTTTGTAAAGGGATTGTAAAGGTAGATTCTTGGGCGGGGATAGTCATAGGACGAATAGGCTAAGCACAGAAGGCCATTGCAAGAGCCGACTATCCCAAAGCTTCTGGGGATGCAATCATCGGAAAAGAGCAAATTGATCTCTCGAAATATGCGACCAGCCTTATTGTCTTCTTCCTCGCCGGCATCATCGTAAAGTTCGTGAAGAATACGGAAGTGTGGATTCGCTTAACGCCCATAAAAACCCATGTCCGATTGAGAGAGAATTTGCAGGAAATGAGCATATCGAGGAGAGATGGGTCGCCGTGAGTCTAGTTCACGCCGGACAGACAGCTCTGGATTGAGCTACCGTCTTCAATGGCAGTCGAGATAGAATCTCGGCCTTGATCTCTTGTGGTAGGGAGCTTAAGAAATCTTCGAATTTGGCTGATTTCTCTGCGTTAGTTTCACTGTCCGCCATTTTTGTCTTTTCCTTTTCTTCAAGTAGAGAGGGTGGCGACTGGCGAGGATTTTGGCCCTTATTAGTGGGGAAGAAAGAGTATACAATGGCTATTATATTTATGGAAAGGGTGGTACTATTTAGCGCCCCATTTTACTAGTCTCGCTCCTTTGGACAATTTTATTCTTCTTATTTTTTCTAAACATCTCAGAGGAAAGTGTACGGTGAAATGTCGTCAAATTCGGAGGTACGAAAAATTTTGTGTCCGGCCGCCGGAACTGGATGGCTTTTAGACCGTCCGGCCGCCGGAACCAGACGGTTTTTAAGCCGTCCGGTCTGCCAGTCCGGTCTAAAAGCCGTCCGAAAAGTACGGCCGGTCGGCTAAAAAGCCGTCCGAAAACGACGGCCGGTCGGAGCCGGTCCGTCCGGTTCGGCCGGCCGGACATATATATATATATATATATATATATATATATATATATATATATTTTTAAATTATTATGTTATATATTCGAAATAATTATGTTATAAATTAGACTATATTATTATGTTATAAATTATTATGTTACATTTTAGACTTGATTATGCTATAAATTGGACGTTTATCGTATTAGGAGTTACAAATTATTATGTTACATGTTGAGTATAATATAAATTGGACGTTAGATATTATCGTGTTACGAGTTAGAAATTATTATATTACATATTAGTCTTAGTTATGTTATAAATTGACGTTAGATAGTATCGTGTTAAGAGTTACAAATTATTATGTTACATGTTGATTATAATATAAATTGGACGTTAGATATTATCGTGATCGTGTTAGGAGTTACAAATTATATAAATTGGACGTTAGATAATATCATGTTATGAGTTACAAATTATTATGTTACATGCTAGAATTAATTATTTTAATTTAACATGTTTTAAAAATATAAATATTGTACTATATAGCAGGAGTCATGGGAAGATTTTGGAGGAGATGGTGTTGATTACAGTCTGCGTTTCGATATCTGTACATTATATAATAATGCTCAGGAGGCTATTGAAGCTGCAAAACACCAGGCAATGCTGAATGGTTTCCTATTAATAATTTCGAGCCACAAAAAGAAAACAGTCAGACTTTTGAAGTGCCATAGAGGCGAACGGTACAGAGGTACAGACGGAAATTCTAGAAAGACAAAAACGAATAAGTGCGGCTGCAATTTTGAGATCAAAGTAAAAAAAAGGTGTCCGGCGCTCCATACTGGAGGATCTGTAGATATAGCAATGAAGAGAAAGGCTACCATAACCATGCATTTGCTGTGTATCCTGAGGGTCATCGCCAGTTGAGCGGCCTCAGCGCTTCATCTAAGAAAATTGTTCGTGACATGACGGACGCTCAGGTGGCTCCGAAAAAAATTATGGCCGCCCTGAAGGAAAAGAATCCGGGAGACAACGTTCATGTGCGGCAGGTATATATATTTATATCTTGTAATATATGTTTTAATTAACTTTTTTAAGTTAATTATGATAATTAGTAATTTTTTATATGTAAAAGTTATTGTAATAATTAATAAATTTTATTATATTTACTAATGTATTATTATTGTGATAGTTAATAATTCTTTTATCAAATTAATCGCATTAATATACTTTTTATTTATTAATATAATAAATTTTTTGTTTTAGAATAATAGTCATTATAATTAACGCTAATCGGTGACAGGTATATAACTTTAGAGATAAGCTGCGGAGAGATAGTTCCGACGGTAGAGACGTTCCTTCCCAGCTTATGCATTTAGCCGTGAGCAGCGAGTATACAGTTTATGCAGAATCCGATCCGAACACGAAAGCGTTGACGCATATATTAATGGCCCATCCTGCGTCGATCAATCTATTCCGGACATATCACTGGTATGTCGGCGTAGATTCCACGTATAAAACCAACATGTATGTTACTTTATACATACTTTATTAGTATGAATCTTAAATAGTGTGTTTGATTAAGTTAACTTTTATTTGATTATATTTTTTGTCTTTTTGGTCTCATTTGCACAGGTACAAGATGCCGTTGGTCGAGATGATTGGGATGACGCCGTGCAACCAGAACTTCTTAATTGCGCATGCGCTCATCAGGGACGAGAAAGAGGCCAGTTACGACTGGGTTCTAGAGAAGTTGAGACTACTGATAGGCCAAAGCGTATATCCTCATGTTGTTGTCAGTGACAGAGAGTTGGGTTTACTCACTCCTATTCAGAGGCATTTTTCTGAATCAGCTCACTTACTCTGCACGTGGCACATCAACAAGGACGTGGAAGCCAGAGCCTACAAACTATTTGGGAAGAGTAACAAGTTCTCGGAGATTTTCACGCACAGTACGTGGAAGGCGATTGCAGAGGCCAGTACGTTCGATGCCTACACCGATGCCGTTGCCGAGCTGCACGCAAAATATTCGAACTCTCCAGAGGTGATACGGTATGTGGAGGGCACATGGTTAGTGCACCGCGAGAAGTTTGTGAAGGCTTGGACCAACCGAGTGACACATTTTGGAAACACAACTTCCTGTAGGGTGGAGAGTGCCCACTCTGTGTTGAAGGAGTGGCTTCAGACGTCCACCGGCGCGCTCGATACAGTTTGAAGATTAATAAGCACATCGATAATCAAGTGACTGAAATCAAGTACGTACTGCAATTTTTAAATGCGTTACTATATTACTACATTAATTAATTATAATCTAAGAAGAATACACGGTATAAGGGAATCCTTTTCGCGAGCGTGATACTGAGGGTCTCGCATTACTGTTTTAGTTTATTGGATGCTGAGCTTACGAGGATGCACAAATTGGGCACCGATGTTTACACTAGCTGCGGCTGTGTATTGCAGCTCACTCATAGACTTTCTTGTGCCTGTCTTCTCCGTAACGCAGTTGATTTCGACATTCCGATTGATCTCGGAATGATTCACCAGTTCTGGAGAACGCTCCAGATATTAGAGCCAGGTAATTTAAGATTAATGTTTTATTTATAATTTTATATTAAAATACATTATTTGGTTTAATTCATTGACTTTTTTTATCGTATACTTGTAGGGACTGGTCATCAGAGCCAGGCGAGCCACGCTGCATGGTCAGATGCGGAGTTCTTTCAGACGCTTGTGAGTGAGGTTGAAACCCGTGATCCCGCGACGATGCGGTACGTGAATCAGTTCATGTACAGTCATCTTTACCCAGACCAACAGGATTATGCGGAACCTGAGGTTAAGGATAACCCGCGAGGTCGTCCCAAGAAAACAAATTCAACTAAGCGTAAACCATCTGTTTTTGAGTACAACAATAGATCGCGAGGTCGGAAATCGAGCCGTACGACCACTTCTTCGCGTAGACAGACAAGTTCCTCTTCTCACCAGTCACAAGGGGATGAAGGTCATACATTTTTTTTTTTTAATATGGCTGAGCGTTAATTAAAGTATTTATAAGATTATATAAATTGTGATGTCAAATTATTATTATATTTATTGCAGAGTTTAGACCGACAAATATATTCGGATTTTCAATGTGGCAAAGTATCCCCTGGCATATGTTGGACTACATAGTGAGTTACATGAATGTGGATGCAGATGGTAACTGCGGATTTCGGGTCATCGCGAGTCACGTGTATGGTCACCAGAAGTACTGGGCAGATGCAAGAGACAGCATTGCGAATGAGGTCGACAACCACCGTGAATTGTACGAGTACATCTATTATAGAGATATCGACGCCGGACTCAGTCGCGTAAGGTGGGGCAAGGGCCCTTGTGGACGGGCTCACTGGTTCGAAGTTCTAGAAGACCTCTACGCCGTTGCGACCCTATTTAATGTGGTTGTCATTCATTTGAGCTCTGGTTCGCAAGGTGGGCAGCACGACTTATTCAGCATCACAGTGTTGCCTCTCACTGCACGATCATCGGCTAGAGGACCATGTCGTGAGATTGGCATTTGCCATCTTGGTACCGTAGCACACTACATTCGTCTAGATTTGACTGATGATTGTCCATTACCGCCTATTCATAACATGTGGTTCCGTTACTGAGATCAATCGGTTGTGGGTTGGGAGGATCAATACCAATCTAGGTTGCAATTATGGTATATTGTTCAAACAAAAGCTTCTTGAATAAAAGAACGATATTATTCACTTATGGTGTAACGCTTCTCATTCAACTTAAGTGTAGCAAATAAAAAAAATAAATGAATCAGCTCAACTTAAGTTTAGCAAAAAAAAAAAAATTAAAACCATTCATAAAATCATTCAACTTAATGTTTTACAATAATAATTAAAAAAAACATTCATTACATCATTATTGGACATTGTCGTAATCCAACTTAAACTTAGCCAGTTGTTCTTCGACTTCCGCCGCCATCGGACATTCGCATCCCTGCTGCCAAATCGATGTAATGCCCAAAAGACGGTCCACCCACTAAAAAAATGGAAGAATAAAAAGATAAGACTAAAATTTATTAAAAAAAAATCATTGTAATGAAATAACATTAATTAAAATTTAGTAACCAACTTACATAGGCGGTATTGACACGCGTTGGGACCTCGTTCTCGTCCGCCAGCTCCTCGCCCATGAGAGTCAGATGGGAAACCCGACTGTACCACTGCAGGTAATCCTCAGTCGCCTCCCTGCGATCCTGTGTGGTGTGGGTCAACATACTGGTGTTGACCGTCCCAAAAATCGGGAACTGGGTCCAGGCACCTACTGCAGCAGCCTCAAAATGCTCAACCTTGTAGTTCCTAGACTCCCAAGCACGTACTGCACTGATTGGCAGGTATGTAGGGGAGGGACAGTCTGGACATACCCCAACTGACGCAGACACCGCGCAGGCAAGTACGGCTCGACGACATCGCGGTATCGAATCAATCCGCTATAAAGAGTCCTCGACTCTATCGCATCTGGTCTGGAGCTGCCGTATGGCAACCATTGCACCTGTTCACAATTGCATAAGAGCATTTATAAAAATAATTATATTATTTTAAATAACGGGTAATTAAAGTTAAATA